ACGCCCTACACTTTATGCTTATTTAAGAGACGGGACCTCCAAATTTAGTTCTTTTTTTTTCTTTTTTTTTCAAAACTGTCATTGTTCTCCTCCCTCTTCCTGTTCTTTCCATCCTGTCGGTGGTTGACGTCAAATCTTTCTTTGTCATAATGATCGTTCTAAACATTGCCATTTTACAGGTTTAACGCCCCTTTCGACATTATTTTTAGATCATTCAAAAGAGGGTGGACCTCCTATAGTGCTGAGCTAAATCGGTGGAGAGCCTAAGATGCTCTCCAATAACGGCCCACGTTCAGTACGCCCCGTTGGACATTCGAACAAGGGCCATCCTCCTATGTGGTTCCATAGATCTGTAATGCGTTGGTCATGTGAGCTGAATCAGGTCTTTCTTTCTCTTTACAAATTATAAAGTGTTGATACATTTTCATCTCTAAATAAAATTAAATGTTTCATCAGAAAACGACATGTTTTTGTGACATTTAAATTCGTCAATTTGATATAAGTCTACAAACTATTTACAGAATCCATGAATTTCTATTCTACATTTCAGATTTTAGAGAAAAATTAACAAGCAAAACAGAAAAGATCGCCGAGAACCCAGACACTGATTCACCACCACATCACAAAAACTCAAGGCTGACAGAAGATAAAGTTGTAGATCTGAGCACATTGCAGGCGCCATTAGGACTTCCGGAAAACGAAGAGCCATCATTGAAAGGGAGAGAAGCAAAACAGCAGTTTCATTCACAGCGTGTCGTCAAAGCACTTGACCTCCCCGTTTACCTACGACATTGGTGACTCATCCAACACTGACGACGCTGAGGGAGTGGGCGATACGGACGAAACAGATAAATAGCTGAAACAGAGGTCCGTCCTGCAACAAAGCCAGAGTTTAACTTGGCGCTCTATCGAAATAATATAAACAGCAAATAGAAAAAGCAAAGTGTTCAAAACTTGAACTTGTACACGGAAGACACTTAAGAGAATACAAAAGAAAAAAAAACAACAACAAAAAACTACCTTGAACCTCAAAGTGACTGTCAAGTGAGTTTGAAACGAGATTTCTCTCCTGTCCGTGTGAATTTCAGAAACAATGTATTCTCAAGTCATCGTCCTCGTCTGCCTCCTCGTCGCAACCTGCCACGGATTTTTTGTGCCGCCTGGCTATGGAGGCAACAGAAGGGTGAGTACAATCGACTTGCTGTTGTGTGTGAGTTAATCTTACGTTACAGCTGGATTTTTTATTTTGCTTTAGTTTTGTTTTTTAAAATTTAAGTTACCGACTCCTCCCACGGTGCAAGGTCTGCTATTTTGATAATTTGATCCCCCGTTTTTTAAAGCACCCAGCTGGTTTCTAAACGTGTCCACCTGGATATTAGCTTTCAGTTTTCAAATATGAATTTTCAAACGATCTAAAAGTGCCTGTTGTGTCATTGTTGAGCCATTAGTTTAGTCTCTCGCTATTCCCAACTGACATGTAACATCCCCCTAAAACCCTAGGTTTGCCTTAGATTCATACTTGAAGCAGATTTGCAGTTTCCTAATTGATCTTAATTTTGTAAATGGGCTATAAAATGTGTACCTATTTGTGGCTCACGCGTCGATGATATGCAAATAGGATATGCTGAAGACTTCGGTGAGTTCTGAAGGCGTCCTGAAATAAAGCTCTGTTTTTTTAAGTTTCTGTTGTCGTACTCATTACTCTACTTAACTTTTACTTCTCCATTCTCTGTTGCCGTTAACGAGGGGAGATGCAGTTCTCTACGGTAGGCCATCTCTGCAGCTGTATCAATTGAGATATTATAATTTCTCTGGGTTTCCTTGACCCCCTCAATCCATATTTTGCGTGGCCTTCCTCTTCCTTTATAGCCAAAGCACCCGGTGTTATAGCCTCTCAAGGCTGGCAAGATGACATTCGTAGTAGGTGGCCAAACCATTTTATTTTCTGTTTTCCTATGAAATGCAGGCAGGACTCAGTGCCAATAGTCGCTTTAACTTTTTCGTTCTCATTAAACTTTCAATATTAGGCCTACATGACGGCGCTCCGTCAGCGCAGTCGTTGTCATTGTGAGTTATGGTGTGGATGGCCGTTGTTCGAATCCACAATGTGGTGTTTGTGAGCTTATGTGCTTGCGGGAATTTTTAAGACTTCGTTCGTGACCGGAATTTGTGGGGGTAACATCACGCTCTTCGGAGTTACCAGCAGGAGACTCGAGTCGAAGAACTTTTATAGAGTATCTCGGCCTTTCAGCTGGAATGTCGTATTCCTCTAAGTCCGAGTTGGCCCTGCCAAACAAGGTCAAATTCCGACTCCTAAGTGACCTAAATTGTGTAGGTGGAGGCGTAAAATCACCAACATTAAAAAACAACAAACAATTCCATCTACTTATTAACAGTCCTGATAAGGACGGGCAGTAAATTCTAAAGTCACGTTTAAAAAAAAAAATGAAAGTACAGGATTGAACGTAACAATATCAAAACCAATTTCGGGGGAACGTGAGAGAGAGAGAGAAAGGAGGGGGGGAGTATTATAAGTACAACAGTGATAATTTTTCAGGAGGGAGGGTGGCGTCTGTTGCATAACGGCTGTGTGTAAGGAAGGAGAATTTTCTTAAATGGAGACTTCTTTAGCGTTTTGTAGTGGTCGTTTTTTTTCTATTATTGTTCTTGTTTGTTTGTTTGGGGTTCTCTTTTATGTTAGTTGTTTGGTGCGGTACAAGGAAAGTATTACAAAGTTTGCAACAAAGAAGTAGTTATTACTCCACATTCCGTATTTTATACCAAGATGTAAAGCGGCATATGGTATGGGAGCAGAGGGGGAGGGGGTTCAGTGGTGGTAATAGGATGGGTGGGGGTGCACTGGTTGGTAGGGGGCCACAGTGCCAGACGTCTAATATATTGTGTGGACATGTTTTGCAGTCGATTCTTCGTCCAATTTTAGAAGCTTGTCTCGCGGACCATGGCTGGCATCAGTTAAGCACTGTGTCAACACGTTTTGTAGGGTGGGTAATTTGTGGCCCATTAACCCTTCAATTAATGGTTTCTCACTGTGTTTGCTCGCCCACGACTCGGCGGCCGTTTCCGTGCCAACGGTGCGTAGAATATTTGCGTCACGCCGCGCTGGAATCGGGCGCTCGTCAATTTTGGGAGAATGTGGAGTTATGTTGTCATCCTAAAGCGTGTTCATTTGGCTTGCTTTCGATAGAAAAAATATCATGAAATTTATCTTGAATGGAAGTTAAGATATTGATGATTGGAAGAGGCGGGGGACGCCTGGTTTTAGAGGTAAAATTAGCCCGGAAATGGTCTCCAAAGTTTGGTGACTTGCAAAGCTTGAGAGTCTTTGAAAACTTCAAATTTACTTTTGTGTGTGTGTGTGTGCCTTATGTCAACGTTTTTCAGTCAAAATCTAAACAAATATATAAAAAGAAATTGGACCTAAAATGTGTTAAATCAACAACAAAAAATGTCGAAACTTACTAACATGAGGGGAAAAATTCTGGTTTCTTTGATTTCATCATTTGGACGAACACGTGATTTTACCATGATGCCACACATTTTATGTCATGCGCGTGGACATATTGTGTTGACGAGAGGCTGAGTTTACAAGGGCATGTCAATAGCTTTATTGGCAGCATGCTGGACTGCAATGCGATGACGTCAGATCAAATACTTGGCGTTACTTTTTTCTTTAACTCGAAAGGTTTCTTTTTACTGTCTATGGTCCTTAACCACGCCTCCAAAGTAAAAGTCATCTTCGAGAAAAGGAATAATAAAAATATAAATCGTCTTGAACGAAGTGGCAGATTAACATCAGAACTATCGAGGACAATAAAGGTATAACACGTATTCTGTACCAGTGTCAACAAGGCTGTTTTGGTCCTCACTTTAGGCAATCGAGAGTAAATTACTATTTTGGTTGTTGCTGTTTTTAACTACGATTTGCAGTAGGCGTGTAAGTGTGTGTATGCGTAGGAGGGGGAGAAAGAGAGAGAAAGAGAGAGAAAGAGGGAGAAAGAGGGAGAGAAAGAGAGAGAGAGAG